GGTAGTTAGGTAACACAGAAGCAGGCACAGATGGAGGGCTAAGGCAGGGGCAGAGAGCCATTGCATATAGAAATATGGAGCTCAGGAGATAAATCAGACTGGGAAAAACTTCAAAGTCATCAGGGTATTTGCATCTCAGATGTCCTGAATGGAGAGCAAGATCTTTAATACAGTGTAATTTATGCACTCTTCTGACAATTAATATTCACTCACAAGAAGGTCTCTGTGGGTACCTGAAATTAATTTTGAAACCATTAAAGAAGACAGGAGGTTAGTCAGAATAAAAATTCCCGTGGAGAAGGTATCACCTCCCCTGTTAAGCCTCTGAGAGTAATTGTACAAGAGAAATGCCTACTGCTTCACGAATGTAAGCAGATAAACTGGTTTTGTTGTTATCATACTACTTGGGAAAATTCTAAAACTTATTACAACCCAAGATATGAAAGGCAGGACCTGAAGGTTCCCATCCTTGCCATTCACAGTATTTCTGCTGCTTAATTTTTGCTTCTAAAGGCAGGTTGCTACATTTCTTTCAATATAAACAATGCAAAGTGCCCAAGGAATAGTGTAAGTAAAGCTACAATGTCAAGAGGAAAAAGAAGACCTTCTAAACTTCTCCTGAAGAGGGGCGCATGCTGTTTGCAAGCTCCCAACACCCTAGTGAGTGTAACTGTCATGTTTATGTTTTTTCTTTCTTGCAATTGTTTCTAACATATTTATAAGATGATTTCTTTGTTGCTTTGTATGTCCCGCCCCCATGGTATAACCCCTGCTTTCATTGTATTTGATGTTGGTATAATTTGTGGAGGGGAAGGGCAAAAATAAACATTTAAATAAGGATACAGGTGGACACATTGCAACAATGAGATGTACAAGTCTTTATGTTGAAAAACGAAATTTACAACTATGGTGGGGGGGGGGGGGAAACAAAGGAGGAAGCAACAATGCTTGATAAGAAATGTACTCATTACCTTGCCCATGTAATTGTAACCCCTCTGTACGGTATTTTCACAATAATTTTTTTTTTAAAAAAGAAAGAAAAAACACAAGGCCATGGAAGAAAGACACACAAGTATGAACTGATCACTGTTTGGTGATAATTTGCATTATATGAAAATTCAAGAGAATCAACAAAAGAAATCACAACCTAACAAAATTACTATAAGATTATTTTCATAGGACCAATATCAAAACATGTAAGATAAACACTCTTTCTATACCCCACTAACTTGTTTTTCAAAAAAGAAATCACAATAGAAAAAATTCATTTCTAATGATATATATTAAGCATATAGGAAAAACATCTCACAGAAGTACATAAATGAGAGAAGACAAAAGAACATATGGAGGGCCAGGTGCCAATGGCTTTTACCTGTCATTCTAGCTACTTAAGAGGCTGAGCTCTGAGAACCCTGGTTTAAAGCCAGCCTGAGGAGAAAAGTCTCACTCTTATCTCCAATTGCTTTGGGTTCCCCCTCCCCACCGCTTGAACTCTGGGCCTGGGCACTGTCCCTGAGCTCTTTTGCTCATGGCTACTACTCTACCACTTGAGCCACAGCGCCACTTCCAGGTTTTTCTGTGATTAATTGGAGATAAGAGTCGCACAGACTTTCCCTGCCCAGGCTAGCTTTGAACTGCAATCTTCAGATTTCAGCCTCCTGAGTAGCTCGTAGAAGTAAGCCACCAGAACCCAGCTCTTATTTCCAATTAACTACCAAAAAGCTGGAAGTGGAGGTGTGGCTCAAATGGTAGAGTGCCAGTCTTGAGTGAAAAATGACAAAGGACAGTGCCCTGACCCTGAGTTCAAGTCTCAGTACCAGCACAAAAAAGAAAAAAGAAAGAAATGTTGAAACACCATTGGCTTCTTAAAATTCTTAAATTAAGAGAAAGGCTTGCATTCATTGCAGCCAAGATATAGAAACAACCTACATGTCCACCAACCCATAAACAAAGAAACCATGGTATATACATACAAATATTACTTAATTTTAAAAGGGAAATAAACCCTGCCATTTGCAACACCTGAATGAACATGGAAGACATTACATTAAGCAAAAAAAGTCAGACACAGAAGAAAACACAACTGTAATCTCACAAATAGTTGGATACTAAAAATGTCAAATTCATAGAAGCAAAATGTAGATGGAATGGTGGCTGCCAGTATGGGGGATGGAAGGAAGGGGAGATCTTGGTCAAAGACTATAAAATTTCAGTTATATAGAATGAGCAGGCTTACAGTCATTATATATAACACAGGTATAGTTAACAGTACCATATTGTATATTTGAGATTTGCTGAGAGTATAGATTTCAAATGTTCTCAAGCACAGGAAAGAGAGGGAGGGAGGGAGAGGGAAGAAGGAGGGAGGAAAAAAGGAAGAGGGGAAGGAAAGATGGGAAGGAGGAAAGAGAAGGGAAGGAACAGCTATTAATGAACACTTACATCTGATTTGAAAATACATTTATGGAGAAAATATTATAAAATTATGTCAACTTTCAGGAAAGTATATACCATCCCTAACTCCAGAGGCAAACACAACATCTGTGGCTGAGTAACAGACAACCCAAGCCAGCCAAGATGAAAAGAGAGCAGGCAGAGGAGCTTGTTAACATTGTCAAAGGTCTGATGACTAGAAACCGCCAGGGGACATGGATGAACTTATTCAACTCAGAAAAGAATTGTGGCAGCTGGACCTTCTCTATCTTCCCAGAGAGTGGGGTGGGTTTGAAAGCCAGCCCCAGGTCTCTCTCTTCTACACAGAGAGGACTTCCTAGCAGCCACTGTGTGAGTGAATACAGAAAGGATAACAGCGGGGGACCAAGGAGCCAATGTAGGTGGCAACTCTGAGATGAAAAGGCTGGGGGAACAAGCACTAGTATTACCTCCAGGATTCCTTCTATCTTTCTGATTCTGTAATTTCTTAAATACATTGCACCTCAGTGCTTTACAAAATTCAGAAAACACAAGTGATACATCACCCTATGCAGAAAAAGGCAGAAATTTTTCATTCTTCCTTTTTAATACTTATGACATGACTATGCCCCATAATTAAACTGTCTTTCCATCCTCTCCAACAACTGGGCTAGCATACATTTCAAAAGATATGGCAAAGGACTATAAATGCAGGTCTTGACTGATTGAGAGTTACTCATCTCTTCACCAAATGGGCCTGTCTAGACGACTATGCTATTTTAAATCTTAATCCTGGCTCTCACTTCTTAGTGCCACATCTCTCTAGATTCCTCTTCTTATTGCCTAAATATCAGCATCAAGAGAGAATTTCAGGGCTAGGGATAGCTGCTCTATGGTAAACCTCTTGTTAGCAAGTTACAAAACCCTAGGTTCTATTCCCAGTTCCAGGAAAAATAAATAGATTATCTGACTCTTAAAAACTGCTGATAAACTAAGAGTAATAAGCAATGAAAAAAGTTCATTCCAGAGAATACAATCACCAAAAGTCTATAAACTTTAAACAGTTCCTTCCTTCCTTCCTTCCTTCTTTCCTTCCTTCCTTCCTTCCCTCTCTCCCTCCCTCCAGCCTTCCTTCCCTTCTTCCTCTCTCCCTACTCCCTGTCTCCCTCTCTTGCACACATCTTCCCCCTTCTCTCTTCCTCTCTCCCTCTTTTTCTCTCTCTCTAAGTCTCAATCAGTTGCTCAAGATGGCCTCCAACTTCTGGGCTCAAGTGATCCTCCTGTCTCATCCTCCCAGGTAGCTGTTACTTCAGGCTTGTAACACACCCAGATCTTATTGTCTCTTATAAGCTTTTCTTAATTTCTTGATTCTTTATGATATTGCTGCCTGGCCATATTCCAGAGACTTGAAGTTACTGAATCATTTCAATAATAGAACTGATATTTATAATGTTGTACACTGGAATTCTGAGATGTAAATGTAACTAAACATATTTCTTAGCACATAAATTAATAAGCTTGTTTCCTCTGATGTTAACCATTTATTCTCCACTAATATTAGAATAAAATATAATTTATGAAAAATAGCAATTCTAGGGGTTAAACTCAGAGCCTCATACTTGCTAAGAAGGCACTCCACTGCTTGAGCCACAACCCCAGCCCTTTTTTGGTCCTTAGTTATTTTTCAGTTAGTCTTGAATATTCTGCCCAAGCTGCCCTGTACTGTAATCCGCTTCCCAGACACAACCTTACATGTGTCTCCCACATATCTGGGATAACAGGTATTCACTACAAGTATTCTTGTTATTGTTGTTATGAGATCTTGCTAACTTTTTGCCTAAGCTAGGCTCAAACCTCGATCTTTCTGATCTCTGCCTCCCAAGTAGCTAAGATTACAAGCATGAGACACTGTGCCTAGTCAAACAAAATTTCTTTATGGAATCACAAGCACCATACCAAGCACATCATATAGGTTACATATAATCATTCCACAACTATGCATGCAATATTTAATCATTCCTTGAATCAGAAAACTGAGGAAAAAAGAAGAACAATAACCTCTCTGAGGACCCAGAGCCAGGAAGTGCTAGAAATGGATCCAGAGCTAGATCTAACTGAGTGCAAACTCCACCCTCTTTCCACAAAGCAGGACATGCACTTTCTCCTATTACATCAATTGTTTGAGAATATTATACTCCATCTTATTAATAAAGATTAATATGGTTCTTCAATATCACCATAATGCAGGTTTCTCAGTAAACTTAACATGCTTCTCTCAGAAGAGTCAAAAATCCATTAAAGAAACAATACCAGCTTTCAAATAAAGTATGTTTTATGACTAGGTCATAACATAGAGCTTTCTGATAATTTTACATGACTATTACACAGTCCACTGGAAGAGAATAAGAGAGTACATGTGCCCTAGCTGTTAGATCCTGAGATTGGGGACCCATGAAGGCCACAGTCCACTGAACACCTGATTGATGAGTACAGATGGCATCAATGTCGATCACCCTCTGAAAGTGATATCCTAAAACACTTTCTGAGATACCAAAAGACCTTCTTCTGTCTGCAGGTAAGCACCTTACCTCCCGGTCCTTGAGCTTCATGGCAAGCACCAACTGATGCCTGTGGTTTGTGAGAGCCTCCCGGTAATTTCCTTTGGAGAAGAATGCAGAGCCCAGATTTCCATGAGCTCGGCATTCTCCTGTCTGGTCACCTGAATTGGATTTAAAAATAAAAGAAGCAAAATGTCTCTAAGTTATAGCACTGTTCATCATATAAAATAATCATCTTAACATCCACAGATTTGCCTGCTATGATGCCATTCACCTTCTTTTAGAAAAGCATTTGCTTCTTCCCAAGACGCCATGTGGGGAGTTAAGATCCTAGAACTTCCATTTCTGGGCAACCACTATTACTGTTATAACTACAACCACAGTCAGGGCTTCGGTGAAGCCCTGAAATGTGAGGTTGGAGACCTTGACCTGAAGAAGATGCTGTGCAATGTGAGGTTGGAGATCTTGACCTAAAGAAGACGCTGTGCAAGTCTCATTGCTCATGGCCTGATGCTGGACAATTACCAGTTGCTGGTTGTGACATTTGTCTTGGAGCCTCCTGTGCATTCCTTCTTTACAGGCCCGCTGGTGCCAGACTTCTCTGCCATAGTCCTCTAAGACCTTTGACAATCATCACAATGACCATCATGATCAGAACCACACTTGTTCTAAAAGTGCAGAAACCGGGACCCAGAGGCTAGGAAGGTTTCCCTGCGAGACCTTACATCCCTAACTTCTGCACTCTACTACCTTGGGCAAAAATGAAACAAAAAAAGAGACAAAAATTCACCACACCAGGGCTGGGATGTAGCTCAGTGGCAAAGGGCTTGCCTAGCAAGTGCTACGTCCTGGGTTCGATCCCAGTACCAAAAAAGAAAAAAGACAAAAATTCACGCACCAGAGCTACAATTCAAGATATTAAATCTGTGAGCCCAAATTTCTAAGGAAGGCCTGGAGTATGTGAATCCACAGCTCTTGGCCATTGTGGAGTTCTGGTACTTTGTTATACCAGAAGGCTTAAAGACTTGCATACCTTTTTTTTTTTTTTCACTTTAAGCTTATTTTATTTGCTTATTCGAGTTTGTTATTTGGCTGAAGTCCCCTTTTTCTTTTTTTTATGCATGCTTTCTGTGTGTGTGTGAAAATACTGTACAGAGGGATTACAATTACATAGGCAAGATAATGAGTACATTTCTTATCAAGCATTGTAGCCTCCTCTTTTGTTTAGATTTGCATACTTTAAAATGGAGACTATACTAGAGACATAGTCACTCTTCATCATATGCCAGGCTAGTCAGCTTTGTTTGTTTTGTGCCTGCATGGAAATAAAGAAGAGCAGCATGAGCCTACCTAAGGTCTTGGCTACATCCAAATCCTGCTGCATGTACCCAGTGCTCTTCTCTGTGTTTCCAAGAGACCAGTAAGCGCTGCTCAGGGCAGAGAAGACGGAGCCTCTCAGCTTGAGGCTGCAGGTGCCAATTTTCAGAGCAGCTTCTAGGACAACCACTGAGGCGCCATGGTGGCCAGCTGTCAGGAGTTCCTGCCCCACTACAGACACAACCACAAAGGGACTCTTGTCCAGTTTCATCTTCTGAAGCTGCTGATAAGTGGGCTCCAGGGAATCTGAAGGAAAAGGAAACAAGGGAATATAGGTTGATATACAAACAATCTTTTATAATATGCTCTAGAAACAGGTGACTTCTGTCTTTTTATGACCTGTTCAAGTACAAACTCTTCAATCTAGCACTTCTGACTGCCCACTCACCAATTTGATTAGCTTCTCTCACCTAGCCCATCCAGCATTGTCCTCTGTCACTGCCAAGCACATAGGCCATGCATGGCCTTTCTCCTGGCTTTCTTCAAATTCCATGTACCATCATCCCTGAAGGCTCTTCTCCCATCCTGTATCTTCCCTTCAAGTCACACTTCTGGCAAGTCTTCTCAGCTCTTCTAGCTTTCATGAATTAATACATTTATTCATTTATCTATTTATTTATTTATTTTTGTTGTGAGTACTGAGCCTTGAACTCAGGACCTTGTGCTTTTAGTTGGCTTGCTTGCTCACAGTTAATGATCTACCATTTGAGCCACTACTGCTGCCCAGCTTTTTTCTGGTTAATTAGATATGAAGTCTCCCAATCTTTTTTGCTTCGAGACTAGCTGACTTCAAACTCCAATTCTCTAGATCTCAGCCTCCTGTAGTTAGTGACATGTCTGACTTTTCAGCTCCCAGCTTGTCATCAATTCTTATGTCTAAACTGGTTTGCACTTTAGAGTTAGTATTGTATAGTTTGGCCAACTATTTTAGAATTATTACACAACTGTCATTTCCCAGCTGACTCTGAAGGCTACCGAAGGACTATTTAATACTCAATTATAACCCCATAGCAAATAGCACAACATGGCACATAAAAAATTATTTTACAATTACCATATAGGTGGAAGTCTTTAATGTGAGTGGCACTCAATAAATGTCAGCTAAAACTAAATTGGAATTACTGATCAATGAAATTTGCTCCTGTTTGCTCCTGGAGATGCAATGTAAGTTCTATACCAGATCATTCTTCCTGGTAACACAAGGTCCATCACTGCTTCTGAAACCAGTATGTCCAAATAAAAATATTACCAAACAAAACCATAAGGTTTATTAAAGTAAGAGAGAAAACAGAGTTAACGTAGATCTCAGTTTAATTATAAGCCATTTCTGTCAAGGTCAGAGGTCAGAGGGCCACACAAATTCCTTCCACTTACAGCGAGGCCTGAATGATGATGACCTCCAAGCTTTTATTCCTCTTCTCCCTCTCCTTTAGAGACAACTGCAGAACTATGAACTACTGCTCTGTAAGAAGATGGCCTTTCTGACCCATTTGTTGTTAGCTTTCCTGAAAATCTCTTGCAGATGAGTTGTTCTGCCACATACATGTAAAAAGCTAAAAAGAGGCTGGTCTCTTTAAATCCTTAATCTCCTTGTCCACAGTACTGCATTAAAATGTAATTTTTACAATTTATGACTTCTCAACTCTCTAGTAAGGAGCTCTGAATCAACATTACCAGGGAAACCTTGAAACTTACTGGTGCCTAAAGCATTTTTTTCCTTCAATCAGATCACTAAACAGAGAACAAAGAACATTTTTACACCTGTCAAGATGCAAGCAGTGCATAGAACCAGTAAATGCCAGCTAACCAATTGGGTTAAATACAGGCCCAAGCACTCAGGAATTGCAAGAATAGAACAATACCTTAGAGACCCACCAGGAGCAGAATTTTGGTGGTGCCTGCTGATGGGTTTGGCAGCCACTGGTGAACACATCAGCATCCCACTGACCAATTAACCAGACAAAAATAATAGATTTTTAGAGCTGAAAAGACTTTGAAAATACCCTAATTTTAGAAATGAGTACTTATGTGATTCACCCAAGGTCTGATAGCTTGGGCCAAACCCAAGATAAGACCCATTGCAGGGCTCTGAGCCCAGACTGTGCCAGGCAAGATTCTAAGTTGCCAGCTATAGAAAGTGGTTCTGAAAAAAAAATTAAAAAAAAAAACAAAAAACCAGAAAGTGGTTCTGGATGCTTATAAGTAAAAAGAAACACACTGCATGGCTGGCTACTGGGAAGGAGAAAAATCCAGGCTTCCAAACCCATAGCCAAAACCATGCCATAAAAGCGGTTTAGTGAAGGCAGCATAATCACTGCAACTGGACACAGGATATCACAGTTGGCAATGCCAGCTCCATGGCTGAACACAACACTCGAAAACGGATGTCATTGCTGGCACCTACCACCTATAAAATAAATTCTACACTACCCTCTCTGAACCTTTTAGCACTTGCTTCCAAGTCCCAAGCTGCAAAGGAGGGAGGGAAAATGTGGCCTTCAAGTTTTCAGCTTTCGTGGCAGGAAGCAGGAGCAGAGGTATGAGATGGGCAATTCCACATGTAGGAAGTGTGTTTGGATGTTCTTCCCCAAATGACTGATGGCTGCTCCAGATGGAGACATGCTTTCCACAGCAACATGGTGAGGTTAGAAAACGAGTCAACGGAGCCTCTAAAACTGGACACAAGTAACAGAAAGAAGAGGGAACCCGGCGCCTGAAAGAGATGTCTGGGAAACTCCCTAAAAGAAATTCCCAGAAAGAAAATATTTGATGGGAAAAGTTTTCACTGGATGAATATGAAATTAAAAATCTGAGAGGTAAAAAAAATCAAATTCCCATCTGTAGTTCACAAGAGAGAGAACATAGGTAACAATGGGAGGGATGAACACTGCCAAAATAGATCATTGCAACTATGAAAATAGAACAATGAAACCTGTTGAAATTGCTTGGGGAAAGGAAAGAGTAAAGAGGGGCTGGAATGAATTGGAATGCATTGTAAACATGTGTGAAAAGGTAACAATAAAATTTCACTCCACTATATAACTAATGTAAGCAAATAAAAAATAAATAAGAAAAAGAATACAAGTGCATTAAAAGAAAATAACTATAAAACTGGTATAAAGGCAATGGGTGTAAAGGGAAACTAGGAGGCTTCATGGAGGTAGAACTTGAGGAAAAAGTAAGACCTGGGTTTTGGTTTCTTCCCTGGAGAAACAGATTTCATTTTACCCTAAACAAAAGAGCCAGGGGAAGACAGGTGCAGAGAATGGCAGGGGATAGGAACAAAGAGGTCTGCAGGACAGGAAGCTGAGGGTAGTAATGGAGTCAACACTGAGCTAGGGTAGGCCCATATTTCAAAGCTGCATGGCCTCTGTCTCTTTGCTTGTCAAATGTACGGGTCATAGTTGCAGCAATGGTTCACAAATGCACACACTCCATGTATTTAATTGTGTTCGTATGTGTATGTAAGTATACCTACGTACATATAAATGTATTTATGTGGTAAATATATACTCTTCTACTGTAATACACATGTCATTTTCACTATATGTAAATATTTCTTTAAATTTCAATGCCAAATGTCTTGCTATGGACTATAATAATCTCAGTAGTCCACATTCACTAATCAGAAGCTCTAATTCCCATTTCAAATGCTTTTGTTTTCTTTAAGATGGAAGTCTCTCTGTGATGTCTAAACTGGTCACAGGCACCCAGGTTCCAGCACTCCTCCTGCCTCAGCCTTCCAAGGAGCTGGGACTACATAGGCACATTGCACCACACCCAACAATTGTACTTGCTTCTGATGAATAAAGATGGAAAGGTAATTTTTAATGTATGAATGATTGAAAAGATTGTTCCCAACTCTATTGTTCTATTTTCTAATTCCTATTCTAGGGGAAACTTGGGCTATTAGCAAATGGACTAATTTTGTGAATTTCAGCAGGCTAGAAAAAAAACAGGATTTTGGCAGTCAGTAGCTATTATATTGTTTTTCTTTCTAGAATCCATGTATAATGTATGAAAGAGCCAATGTTAAACCAAGTCCATAGGAACATAAAGGCCCTTTACAACACTGATTGATCAGTTGTTCTGTGCCTTTGAAATGTAAAGGCTTTAAGAGTTTAAGATGAACAAGTTCCATTTCCTGACACTTGAAGAGCTTTTAAGAATGCAGTAAAGGCTAATAACAAATAATCACAAATCCCACAGCTAAGAGATACATGGATTTCACTGGTTCTAAGATGCAGTTATTCACATTTGCGTCTGAATTGGGGGTTGAATATCTTGAACTCAGTGGTATTTTAGTGGCTGACCACTTCCCTATAAGAGCTTTCAATGTTACAGAAAGCTGCATGATAGGAAGAATTGGGTCAGCAATTGCTCACCATTCTCTTCCTTCTTGGGTCTTGGTAATATATGAAATAATGGCACAGCTTTTCATCCTGAGTTTTTGGACCTGACTGTGCCCGCCTACCCCGGCGGTAGGTCTGGGGAGGTAACATCTAGGGAAGGTAACATCTGCTTAGAAATTGGAGGTAGAGAAAACATGGATATTTTCAGGAATGCCAGACTTTTAGTTGAGAAGAGAGGAATACCAGAGTTTTAGTTGAGAAGAGAATAAGAAACAAGATCATTGACACTAAAACTGAGAGAAAGTCATAGAAAAGGTGTGTCAGTGCCTCTCGGCCCAGCCCTTTCCACCATAAACACCAGATAGCTGGATGGTATGTGTCCTTTCCCCAGTGAAAAGGAGAGGCCTGGCCTGCTCCTCAGGGCCTGCACCCCAACAACATTAGCAGTAGGCACTAACCTCTCCCAGGTAGGGAAGGGCTGAGCTACAGAGAAAGAATCCATGCATACTCAATAGACTGGCAAATGGCAGAGCTAGAACGAGACTCCAGTCTCATGGGGCAAAGCCTACCTTTCTAACACCATTTCAGACACAAGCTGAAAGAGTTCAGTGAGGGTAAACAATCTGGTAAATCTAAGTGGGCCCAGCTGACCCTGAGAAAGGAATGTATCCCCACAAGCTGACCCCGAGAGAAACACATATCCCTAGCCCTTACCCACCCGCTCATAAAAGCAACGCCCCTGGATCCTCTGGAGCTCACAGAAACAACAGGTGATGGCCCATAAATGTAATAGTCTTTAGATTACCAAATTAACAGGAGAAGAGAAAATACACACAAGAGAACCCTCAGCAAGAAGCAGCCCTGCCTGGCATCATTAGAGGAACAAATAAAGGTAAACTCAATCTCACTTCGTAATTATATTATTAAATCCATGGCTGGCAGTGGCGGTGTGCAATGCTATCCAAATTTGCTTAAACATTTATAAGATAAAATGAACTGAAATTGCTGAAAGACTACCTAAAGGAGAAATGGAAAATACCAAAGGATAATGAGAAAACACGTGAAACAAAGTCCAGATTTATATATATACTTATTTTATATTTTCATTAATGATTTAAGAGAAATAGGCTATATATGGTAACACAATTGTATCCACAGGAGAAATAGTTTAACTGATAGCTCATTTGTGAGCATAAGTGAAACAATATTAATAAAAGAAAAAATATTTAATTGTTAGAAATATAGGAACAATAATAAAAAAATAAAATTAGCTTTATTATGGATAAATAGCACATATTTATATAAAAACAAGAGTAGATTTCTATAGCCAGGCACCAGTGGCTCATGTCTTGTAATCCTAACTACTTTGGAGGCTTAAACCTGGAGGGTTTTAGTTCAAAGTAGATAGAAAACTCTATGAGAGTCTATCTCCAATTAACCAGCAAAAACAGAGGCTGGAGGTGAGGCTTAGATAGTAGAGAGCAGGGGCTGGGGGTTTAGCTCAGCGGAAGGGCGCCTGCCTGGCGAGCACAAGGCCCTGGGTTCGGTCCTCAGCCCTGGAAAAAAAAAAAAAAACTACAATAGATAGTGTGAGGCCCTGTGTTCAAACCCTGGTACCAGCAAAAGAAAGTTCTGTCTTTAAAAATGATTTTGTGTGTGTATGAGTGTGTGCACATGGACACATGCAGATCTGAGCACCTGCACAAGCTAAGCAGGGCTCTACCACTGAGCCACACCCCCAGCCCTAAAATAAAATCTTTTGAAACTTTACAAAGCTTGCAAGTCCTGGGAATTTTGTCTGCTTTCTGTTACATCTAAGAATTACAAAACAAAAACAACTGACACAACAGATCCCATCTATCTGTGGAATGTCCCAGACCACATAGCTATGCAGTAGTGGCAGAAACTGAGAAAGATGCAGGAGGCTAAAATAAACAGAGGGCAAAATTGTGCAGCAAATGACAGATTTTGTGAATTACAACCATACAACACAGAGAGGTCATTAGGATGTGGGTGATGCCAAGAACCCTGACAAGCAGCAGTCTCTATAAAATGTAATTAAGGGAAGCCCACCTGGAATAGGCACAGTGAATGCAAGGCTAAAAATAAACCAGATAAATTAAATTGCCTTGAGGGAAGAAAAATAATATTGGAGCGCCCCAGGCACCTGTAGGGAGCTTTCTCCAGGGTCAACCTCGGGTCATCCCACTCTAAGATGGGAAGAGACAAGGCACAGAAAAAAAACCCTTAGGGTGGTAGCAGCTCTCAGCTACTTTTTGCAGTACAGGGGGGATTTCTTTACATTTATCTAAACAAATTGCTTCAAAGGCAAAATGGTAAGTATGATTCTGCTGATATCAACACATATTCTAAGGCAACAGCAGACACACCTCAGAATCAAGAAGTGATAACTTTATGAACTAAATAAAACATGTTCTGTGGAGAGGAGAGTGGGGAAGAAATGAGAAAATTCTAGAAAACTGGTAAAGAGACAGGTTGATTGTGTTGTTGTTGGCAACCCCCCTCCTCCTCTCCCTTCCCTGTCTCCCCTCCCCCTGCCCAGCCCTGGAGGTCCACAGCGCATCTGCTCTGAGTCAGAGTTTATTAACAGCAGGCCCCACAGTGGGAGAAACCATTAGGTTCCTGCAGAAAAGACTTGGCTTTGCATGGCTTATAAAATCACATGAAGAGAGCTTTCCTTACATCTCCCCCCCACAAAAAAAAAAAAAACCATGAAATCCCTAGCTGTCAGGAAAATATCTTTTATAGCTATGAATTATCCAGAGACCAAACGAATACCATGTAGTTCAACTAATTTTCATTTAGCATATACCTTGAGCCAAGTTTAACATTAGCCAGTATATTAAAACTAACTAATGCTGCAAACATGTTTTAAACTAGATAAAAAATGTTCACTTATACCACCATCAAAAATTTTAAGTTCATTTTCCCATATATAAATTTCAAAAGGATACCATTAAAGATTCACTTGACCTGACCTAAGTATTGTGAGGCATTATTAGCATCTTCTATATCTCTGAACTTGCCTTCTGACTATCAATCCAATGGTAACAATTTGTACACACTTTTCCTCAAATCTTCTCAAGAGCTCATTCCTCAAAAAGCAATATTCCTGCTGGGCATGATAGTATATACTTCTCACCTCAGCACTCAGGAGGCTGAGGCTAAAGAATCCCAAGTTCAAGACCAACCTGGGCTACCAAAGGAGATCCTGTCTATAAATAAAAAAATAAATAAATAAATGTTCTGGGTTAAGTATATAGCAGTAGAACACTTGCCTAATATACATAAAACCCTGCATTTTAGCCCCAGTACAGAGAAAAGGGGAAAAAAAAAAAAGTAATGGTCATCAAAAGAAAACCAATCTATTCTAAGCCTCAAAACTCCTCCAACTTCCTTGGTACCATTTTCAATCCAATCTCTTCTTTTTCCAGAATATCATTTGGAATAAAATAGAATAACAGAGAAATTATTTAAACTAGTATCTGTCTTAATTTTCTGTCCTTTTAATTTTCGTATTTATGTCTAGACAGCAAATTGGTCCATCCAAGAAAATCAATTTACTTATACAGTTCAATAGAATCTTGAAACTACAAAAAAATAAAGGGATAGGTGGAATTATCTAAATAATCTAAAATCTAGACAAGTCAATTTCTTTACCCATGGCCATGGCGTTAATTTAAAAAAAAAATCTGAATGTAACCCACGTCCACTAGTGTCCAGGCAAGTGGTCTTTCCACCATACTACTTTGTCTCTTTAACAACAGTCACTGGCAGCAATTTTGATCTTTCTTTGTCAGAAATATCAGATGTCTGCATAGTAGTAACCTTCGAGTCCCTGATACTCGACTATAATATCTTAGAAATACTTTAAATTAATATTTGATCCAGTAATTTCATCCTCCTTACCTCTCATAGGAGACTTCATGGCGGCTTCTACCATCCCCACAAGAAGCTGGAGACTCTTGGGGTCTTGAGCCAGTCCGGATGCAAAGGCCGCCAGGGCATCGGCATGACGTCCTAGGTACTGGAGGGCAACACCCTGTCGGAAGTATGCCTGGAAACAAAGGGAAGAAAAGGCTTGTGTTAACACCCTTCACTCAGGAAGACAGGTGGGATTCTTCACAACAAAAGACCAGCAGAACTCTTTTTTTTTTTTTTTTTTGGTCGGCCGTGGGGCTTGAACTCTGGGCCTGGGCGCTGTCCTTCAGCTCTTCAGCTCAAGGCGAGCGCTCTACCACTTGAGCTACAGCGCCACTTCCGGTTTTCTGGTGGTTTATTGGAGATAGGAGTCTCACGGTCTCTCCTGCCCGGGCTGGCTTTGAACCGCGATCCTCAGATCTCAGCCTCCTGAGTAGCTAGGATTACAGGCGCGAGCCACCAGCGCCCGGCTACCAGCAGAACTCTTAACAGAGGAGAGTTTGGCTCAAAACCAGAATGAATAAAAGCAACTGGTTTCTTCTGGTATCATAGGATGTAAGCATATTTTCTTTTTTTATTTTTATTGTCAAGGTTACAGTTACAGAAGTAAAGTAAGAAGTACATTTCTGGGGAAGGATTGGGTGGGGGGGGAGGTTGGGAAGGGAGGTGAAGGGTAAACAAAGGAGGAGGCTGCAATGCTTGGTAAGAAATGTATGCATTATCTTGCCCATGTAATTGTAACCCCTCTGTACAGTATGTTCACAAATAAAATTAAAAAAAAAAGAAGTACATTTCTTGTCAAACTTGTTACCCCTTCCTTCATTTTTCTCCTACTTTCCCTTCTCCCCATTCCTTCCCCCCAAGTTGTACAGATCATTTCCAACATATTGTCTTGTGTATGCCACTGTTGCATTGGTTCCCCTCTTGCTAAGCAAAATGAAATCCAAGACATGGACATAAGAGGTTTTTCTTTGTTGTTATTTTTAATGGACTATACAATTTTTTGTTTTTTTTGTATGTTCTTCCCTCTATGGTATGTCCCCTGTTGTCACTGTATTTGATTTTGGTACCCTGGTATTGTATATATGTTCATTTGAATTAGGGAAGAAAAGAGGAACAACAAAATGGTTAGACAAAGGTAAGCATATTTCTTTCAAGTAGCTTATATTTAAAACTTCCATTCTTTTCTGCCTGGGCTAACCTTAGGAAACAAGGTTCAACAGATCATGGTTCAAGGCTAACCCAGGCAGAAAAGTCCATAAGACTCCATCTCCAAAACAACTACTAAAAAGTCAGAAAGGAGGTGTGGCTCAAGAGGTAGAGTACCAGCCAAGCAAGCAAGCCAAACAACCGTGAAGCCCTGAGTTCAAGCCCTGGTACTGGCAAATAAAAAAAATGAAATTACTGGCTTCTTATTTAACCTAAATACTGTTGCTCACAGTACTGTTTACAACACAAACTCAACTTTTTCAGTCTAACATACACATAAATTGCGTACATAAGATATAAGTGAAGTTTCTTAAAACTACTAAGTTTAAAGTATAATTTTATACCACTATTACACATATAGCCAATGAGAAAAAGCAGACACCTTTCAGGATTATAACATCTTATTTTACTTTTTAAAATAACACTTTGAGGACTTCAGACAGGCCACACAACTCAGGATTTCTATTGAGAAACAATCCATACACAGAACGAATACTCAAATTGTTATGAGCTCTTCTGGCTTCTGTTAGCTTAAACTGCCAGCAGCTGTTAAAACTCAGACCCCAGACAGACAATAACCTGCAAATGCACTTTCATTACTAATTCATAAGATCACTTCCTTTCACTGGCCTCAGCCACTGTTTTAATCTTTAATGTGTTTACAGACATTTTTCATTACCCTTTTCATTTCACACTTTAGGTGGTTCCTGCAATCCAAGAAGCAGTATAGTGTACATTCCAGTTGAAAAGAACTATGGCTTACCTAAGTCTGGAATTGCTATCTTAGTGTTAACATACATACATATATATATATATATATATATATATATATATATATATATATATATACACACAGACATACATGCATATACATATATGATATATATTTATGTCATGCTACTTATATATGTATATAAATATGCCAAATATCTATAAATGGTAATTATTATTTATAGAGAGACAAACGATGTCTATAGTTACTGATTTCAGGCGTATTTTATAAGAAACAAAAAAATCCTACAGTCTCAATTTTGATAGTCTCTCACATATTTGTAACGACACTTTATCAGTCCTGAGTTCACTGAGATAGCAGTTGATTCCCCTGTGTGCCAAGTACAAGCACTGAGAAGTACGTAAGCACAGTGCCATGTTCAATGTTCATGCCACGTTCCACAGAGTGGACCTGCTTTGCTTTCTCAGAAATCTGGCGAGAAGGGGTAAGGCCTCTCATTCTTCACTTCCTCTCTTCAGGAAATAATAAAAACAAAAGGAGGTAGAGGAGAGAAGACTCAAAGGTCTTCCTACCCTTTCCAGGATCCCCTATCCAACTTTAAAAGATTATTACCAGTTAACAGCTCAGTGCTGTCAGAGTGAAGTTCTGACAAACCCCCAGGGGCTCCAGACTCAGAGTGGGCTCTCCCAACTCTTCCCCAAACTTATTCTTTGCTTGTACAAAAAGTATCTAATAAAAGTGAGTTAGTTTCCTTTACTTTTGTGAAAGAGGTACCATTGTGGAATTTACACTGCTGATAATAAAATCTGGCTTATGGGTTCTTATGACTTAGTACAGGATCTGCTAGCCTGCATACTCATAATAAGCTATCTTCATTCTCAGGTAATAAGACAGGAGTATTACCAAGAGCACACAATTATATCACAAAGTACAAGGGGATTCCAATAAATACTTTCATATGCAAAGAATATTACTTGGGTCATATCAGTACTTACCTACTCCCTACCCTCCTAAAAAAGGATCCTGGCAACTGGAGAATAACTGAGACCTCTCCTTGCTCTAGGCTCCCAGACAAAATCTAAACCACCTGACTAAAAGTAATTGCCATGATGGAATCTGGGGAGATGCCTCTGCCAGCTTCCTCCAAAGCAGAGGTAAGATGTGCTGAGACTCACGGCTGTTTACCATGGCTTGGAGAAAATCGATGCCACGTCCTGTTTCCTGTCTGCCCTCCCCGTGGATTCTGCTGGCTCATTGTTTCTTTTACCGTCACAGGTTTTTCGTGGACAGTAGCTTGCTGTGAGAGAGGGGCAAACTTGGATCATATGGGAGGGGGCTGAGCACTGGGTCACGGGCTATAGAAGCCAACACATGATGTAGCTTGGATCAGCCTCTGACTGTATACACAGCTCACCACACCCTTGCCATGTGCTGGGCACTGCTTGTGCCAGAGAGGGAAGGAAAGGCACTGTGGATCAACCAGTGAGAGCACTCTGCCCTGAGAACAGGAAGAAGAGAGACACAGGGAGCTAGTTAATGCGCAGACTGAAGGTAGGGTGCCTGAGTTTTCAAGTGTTCTATGGTCATTCATTTACTTTCTGTGGTTTACAAAAGCAAAACAAGAAACCAAGTGGCCTCACAAATGAAATAAAGACAAGCCAATTACAAGAATGAGTTTTCATTCCTTTCCTCTTTGTTTCAATTACCATTCCTTAAAAAACTTATAGTGCCAGCCACAGAGGTAATACCAAGAAACAAAGGCAGGACTGGTGCCAGTCTATAGGGGAAGGATATAAAAGTTAGAAATGGTTTTGCTGCTGGCTGCAGTAAATGCTAACCGAGACAACTCTAGTTATACTTCAGCAGTAACAAAATGTAACTAATGGCTAAAACATTTACAACTTGTTGTTAAAATTGTTAATATTAGTAGCATTTGCTTTTTATTACATGGCCATCCAGAGGGCAAAAACACTGAGAGTAAACAGCTAAAACAGTAAACTATTCACCCTGCAAGTGCCCCTGGAAACAAAGTCCCTGCTTCTAGTACCTATTTCTAGCCACAATTTCAGATGTCATAGAACCAACAATAGCCCAACACCTACTCACCTGGGTCCAAATGAGTGAGAAAATAAACAACTGTGCTCAGAGGGGCATTTGCATTTCTAACAGGAACTATTTAACAAGTACAGATAAGATGTAATGATTCATAGGATTGACATCCTATATTCCTATGGGCACTGTATAGTCTATTTCCTAGTTAAAGCATTTGCTAATAATGTGCCTTTTGATTTTGATCTAATCGAATGTCAAACTTCAATATTTCCAAGCTATCTTTTACAATTTATGCTTGAACTTGTTTTACATCTTCTGAAGAATAATTACCTCCAGCTATAATGTGGACCAATAGGGGGCCATTGTATGCTTTCTATATCATCATTGTCTTTCTCCATCAATGCTTGTAAATCCCTTGAGTGTTTACCAAATGTCCCTTTGTTGCTTAAAAAAATGAATAGACATGGTGAAGATGGAAATGATTTATAAATTACCACAACCAAGCCAAAATGAAAATGAATACAGAAGGCCCAAACCACTGTAACATCAGTGTGTGTGTACAACTATGTTCAACTGTGTTGGAAGACAATAAAATTAGAGAACAAAAAAGGTCATTGTACAAAGAAATGCATATGCATAATTTGAGATTTTTTTATTTTTCGGAGAATTAAAATCCTTGCTTACTGAAAGCATCTATCATATTTGCATATTTGTTATCTTACATAGCTGACTTTCCTGGCCTTTGTTAGGAAGGTATTACATGGACAAGTAAAAGGCAACCTGTATTACCTAAAACAAACACCAATCATGAGCAAATTGTACATATACACATGTAAATATAAACTTCTTTACACATAAAAAGACAGCCAGAATCTATATGCTGACTAAGTTGTCACACTCCTGTATCAAATAGGCCTGGTAGAAATGAAGAAAAAAGTAGCAGAAAATGCAAAACAAGAATCTATCAGTAGGAATCTATCTGTAGGACTATGGAACACATCTTCCTTTCAGAGACTTAATCCTAATCGCTACTTATTAGAATTATTACAAAATTATCTGAGGTCTAAGCCTGACATTTGTCTTAATATTAAAAAGGGCCCCACGCCAGGCACAGTAGCTCACGCCTGTAATCCTAACTAATC